CATGATGATGATGGTGTCCCGAGGATGATGACGATGTTGATGATAATGTTGATGGTAAGAACGATGGTGATCATGATGGTGTCCCGATTATGATGATGAGTATGATGATGCTGCTGATGATGATGACGATGACTGTGTCCCGATGATGATGATGATGATGATGATGTTGATGATGAGATGCTGATGGTGATGATGATGTTGTTGTCCCGATGATGATGCTGACGTTGATGATGATGTTTATGATGATGATGATGATGATGATGATGATGACGGTGCCCTCATGATGATGACGATGTTGGTGATGATGTTGATGTTGATGATGTTGATGATGACGATGATGATGACGTTGATTGTGAGAGCGATTGTGATATCGATAGTGAGATCGACATTGAGACCGAATGTGAGATCGATTGTGTGATCGATTGTGAGATCGATTGTGAGATCAATTGTGAGATCGATCGAATGAGATAGATCGAGTGAGATCGATTGTGAGATCGATCGAGTGAGATCGATCGAGCGAGACCGATAGTGAGATCGATGCTGAGATCGATAGTGAGACCGATCGAGTGAGACGTTGGTTCCCCCCCCCGAACCTCCTTATCACCCGAAGGGTGGTCGCATAGGTACGGCTATAGGGCTATAGGGTTATAGTGCTATAGGGATATATGGCGATTGGGCTTTTGGGCTATAGGGATATAGGGCTATTGGACTAGGCACCCCTGGGCACTTCTGGGCACCCCGGGCACCCGGGCACCCCTGGGCACCCGGGCACCCCCGGGCACCCGCGGGCACCCGGGCACCCGGCCCCAGCCACCGAAATCGGCCACACACTTGGGCACCCGGGCACCCCCGGGAACCCCCGGGCACCCGGGCACCCGGCCCGGCCACCGAAATCGGCCGCCCACCTCACCTCAGCTTTATATCCGCTAGGACCCCTACAGAGGCAAGCTCTGATTTGGGAATTCTGTGCACAGACTATTTTTGTTTTTCGAGGCGGTCGTAGCAAGCAGCTGAAGACCATCGGCTCGTACTCCGTCGCAGTCGTAGTCGTCGTCGTCGTCGGCGGCGTCGGCGTCAGCGTCACCGTCACCGTCACCCTCACCCTCACCCTCATCGTCACCGTCACTGTCGCTGTCGTCGGCGTCGTTGTCGTTGTCGTAAGCGTCGTCGCCGTCGTCGGCGTGATCGTCATCGTCGTCGTCGTCGTCGGCGGCGGTGGCGGCGGTGTCGTCACCGTCGCCGTCACCGTCACCGTCTGCGTCGTCGTCATCGTCGCCGTCGTCTTCGGCAACGTCAACTTCGTCTCCGTTTGCCATTGGCGAAGGGCGGGGGGAGTCCGTTCGACCCTCCTTTTTGCAGTTCCCAAGAAGAGAGAGGGTGGCCCGGTTCGAACCCCTCCCCCGTGAGAGGGGAAAGGCTGCCAGAACACAGCCCGAGACCAGCCATAGACTGCCCGAAAAATTGCCAAAGAGGCGCCCACAAGGGCCGAGTTTGGCTCCGAGAAGGGCACGGAAGGGGGGCAAGAAGAAGGGCCCGAGGCGGTCCAGGGGAGCCTTTGGACGGCCCGCGCGACAGCACCTCCGCGTAGGGCCGCAACCCCGTCCGAATGCCATCAAAAAACTGGCCGGTTCGGGGCTGGTTTGGGCTTCGCTTCGAAGCTCAAGTTAGGCGCAGACTTGTCCGAAATGGACGTGAACTCGTGAGCGCGCCCAGAGACGTAGTCGAAATCCCGCCAGCCCCTGGGCGCAGGTGGTCTAGGGTGATTTCTCTTCCGGCCCCCTTCTTCCCCTTCGGGGAGGGGTTCACCCCTCCCCCTTACCCCCTCCCCTGGACTTGGACGGGGCCCGTCGCGGGTATTTGCAGCGTCAGACATGGCCCAAGATAGCTCCAAGAGGCCGTCAGAGAGAGCAAGATGGCCTCCAAGATGGCTCCAGACAGCGCAAGGTTGTTCAAGATAGCTTCCAAGAGTCCCCAAGACCGCCTCAAGACGGCTCCAAGTGGCCAAAGAGCTGTCCAAGGAGGCCCCCAAAAGACCAGCATCCTTCAAATGCCGAAGGAAAATCAGTGTGCTTGGCT